AAACCTTGGGGTTGTCCTTCATTCAGCTAAGATTTGGAAATGTCCTTGTTATAGCATTGATTACTATCTCTCTCAGGGTAGTTTAGTCTGAGGTGAAAGGTACCCCATTTTTATACAAGGGGCCAGTGTTGACATTTCTTCACACACACAAAAGAACCCTGAAAATAAAATATCCCAAAAAGCCTAATAAACATAACCAATACATTGCTGCCATAACCCAGGTAAGCTGGATCTCACTAATCTCATAACTAATTGTGGATCTCACTGTTATAAAATATCAAGACCCCTTAAAGGCAATGGTATTTTCTTCTACAGTCTACAAATTCGCACTTTAAGAAAAAAGGTACATTTATTTTGTTCACATTTTACACCCCAGAGCATTTTACTCTCACCCCTCTTGTGAATGTACAATGAATGTAATGGAATAAATGAATTTTCAGTTTCCAAAGAGCATTTTACTCTCACCCCTCTTGTGAATATACAGTGAATGTAATGGAATAAATGAATTTTCAGTTTCCAAAGTAATAACTTGATGCTACAAGCATCCTTTTAAGAGCTAAACATGGGTCAGAGGAACAGGCAATACCATTGAACTCTTCCGGCCACTTGGCCACTCTGATCCTGAAAACTCAAATTACTTTCAGTGCTGTAGATTAAAACAGAAATACTAGAACAACATCCACTTTTCTGAGTGATTCTAATGCCTCTGAAATGTGACATTTTGCTGTTGTTTCCTTTTACCGTTTTTAATTACTGGGTCTATTTGCATGAAATGAGGATCTGGGTTGCCTAGGAGTTCATCTGCTCTTATTGCATATTTCTCTCTTAAATAAGCGTACATCAATGTCGTTTTGCTTGCTGCCTCCAACATTTTGCCAAGATCTCCCCATTTTCTCTTTGCCCTGTCTTCCCATCACTCCCCAGGAGAGAGATTATTTTTAAAGTACATAATCAATAGGCTTTGGGAAGCAGCCAAGGTATGAGGGGGTCATATGATTGGGAATGAACTACTAGGGATTTCTGAAAGAAGGGATGGCTGTAGGCCATGCCAAAAATTGTCTGAGAATGAAAAGACAGTCTGTAGTTCCCATTTAAGTGTTCTCAGTTACTCTTTTGCACAAGCTTTTTGTCTTGGAGGGATTTCTTAGGTTGGTATTTTAGAATTGCTTTGAGTTGCAAGAGATTCAGACCAGCATTGACAGTTACTTTTCAGGCCAAATAATACTCTATTAAAATCAAGTTTGGTCTGAGGCTTTTAATGGAATCTTATATCTCCTGGTCATAGCACTGCTGTTTAGTTCTTGATGCTGATGATGCTTTTGCTGATGGTTTGAATCAAGAACAAGCCAATTATGATTCCAACAAATATAAAAAAGACTGTTGATGGCCCCTGACTCAACACTCAGACAAAGGAATTCCGTTGAGTAATGAGAATGTGCAGATAATCATGCACAGTGCACAAACGAGAATCGCTGTTGGAAAGTCAGCTTAGAGGAGGGAAGAAGCTATTTCTGCAATATTCTTCATTATATCACTTAGAAATCATAGCTTTTTGTTGTTGTTGTTGTTGTTCATTACTTGTAGCCACAGGGATATCTCTTCTTATGGATTTTTAGGTTTTATTTAATGATCATTTATGACTATCCCTCCTGTTCATGGCTCCAGCCCTGCTTTTTCTCACCCTGATTATCAGAAGAAATTGATTTGTTGCTCATCTCCTTGGCTTGGGACATTTCATTATTCTGCTTTTATTTAATATATGAGCCTTCCTTTAGATTTTATTGTGTTTTTGTTCATTTAGTATTTTTTCCTATTTCATTTAAATAACTTTATTTAATCATGTCTAGTGAGTTGATTATCATAAATCAGTATAATATTTTTATGTGAATTTTTGCTTTGGCTTAGTGTGTTGCAGAATATGCTGTGCATCGGCCTTTGCTGTTTGTCTTTAGTTGTTTCTATATCGTACACACTGATCAGATGCTGCTCCAAGGCTAATCTTATAGCATTAAAATGCCTTCCTAGGGAATTCTTCTTTAGCTGAAGAAGGTTGGTGGTGGCATTAATTGCAAATAAAAGACCGTGACCTATTATTGTTGAATATAGAATATCTTCTTAGAAGTGTCTGCCTTCATTATTGAGAACTCTCAGTGGTGAAATAAAGATCTTTGTCCTGTGCAGATCCAGTTACAGCCAGTGACAGAGGCATATGTCCACTATGCACAAAAGAATATTTTCACATTCCGTGGCTGACCTTGAGGGATAACATTTTTGCATATCCTAAAAATTTTTATGCAGATGCTTTTTAAAGGCAAAAAAAAAGCTTTTATAATAATCTTCTTTGTGAATGGAATTTAAACTCTTGGCATGTGTTGCCTTTTCAACATGCCTGTCAAGTTTTGAATAATAACTTCTGACAGTGCACGAGCAAAAACAAAACCAGGGACTGTTTCCTGGGTTCACAGCAACATTGTTTGTCATCTTTGCTTTTTTTCTTTTTCTTTTTTTGACTTATGCCTATCTACCTTAAATAAAAATATGATAAAATTAATATTTTGTAAGCAAGCTACTAGACTGTGGTTTTAAGGATATAGTCTGCTCTAATTTATACCATGCCAAGTTGCTTTGTCTCTGGCTGACTAAACCTGTCATAAATGGACAACAGTTGTCAAGGAGAAAATATCTGTCAATTAATATATTTTCCCAAATTTCTTTACATTAAAAATTTTATAAAACCTTTACATGCCTTTATAAATATGAAGCAAAACTAAAAACAAGATGCTGTCTGAGTGAGAGATAAACAGAAGAAATGTTCTTTGTCTTAGAACTGTAATATCACTTGTCTCCACATTGTCAAGGTAAATCATATATTGGAAAATTTAGTCTGTATCTATATAATACCTGTAGAAATAATTGAAATAGGAAATATCAGCTTTTAAGCATTTTTTTTGAAAGTCTCTTTGACACTAGATAGCTGGTTAGAATACAATAGTCTCTATTTTAATAAGTCAATTTGGCTGTAATAACCAAATTGTTTGTGCATGTGGATATAACTTTACGAACAATTCAATTTATCATAGAATAAAATAAACTAAAAGACCCCAAGTCTACTTATTCCAATATGGAATTTATTTTGGTTGAAGTTATTTTAAATCGAGTTGACAGGCTTATAATTGATATGTTTTGCAAATCTTTGAAGGCAGTGAACAGAGAAGTCTTTGCACAATGTTATATAAAATGCTGTAGCTGTGTATCTTTAACAAAAAGTATTCATTTGGACAAGTTTACTGAAAAATATTTTTATTAACTGCACAAAAGAAATTTATAATGAAAGTAATAAGTAAAAACCAGTTACTGACAACTGTGCCATCATTTAAAGGATTGCTATATTTTTTCTTTCTTCAACAGTACAAATCCAAGTGGAGGAAAAAGAAGACGATACTGAGGAAAGTTCAAGTAAGTGAGGATGGACCCACTTGGGATATGTTCCCCTGGGGAATGACTTTTGATGGTCTCACAAAAGAGACTAGCTAGTAGAACTTTTACTGTAGATTCCATTCAATTGGTAGACATACATTCCACCCAATTTATAAGTTACTCGTCATCAAGTAGATAGTAGCCCAGAAAAAATTTGCTTTTTTAATTTCTCTACTATTTTCTCTGTTAAATAAAGTATTTTTCCTAAAAGCTTTTCTCTAAGGCTGAGTCTATTACCATGGAACAGATTGGCCATTTTGACTGAACTGATCAAATAGTTCAGTTAAAATGAATAAGCAAATTCTTTTGTACTTAATTCATTGGTATTTTGTCCAAATTGCTCTATTGTTTTCCTTTGTGTAAATTCAGCTCAAGATCCTGGATTGAAATCCTGTTCCAGGCATGTAGATCACTCATGTGCTGGAACGTGAGAAAAATCATTATGTGAGCAAAAGCTTTGAATTTACCAAAACTGAAAGTAAAAGCAACATATCAAGAAAAGTTCAGTTAGAGGATACCTTAACACTATCAATTTAATAGCCTGAGCATAATATTGCCGCATAATATTGAATGTTCAGTATACTGATTGTTTTCGTAAATTTGCTTCAATCTGTATGAAAACATACCAGAATCTCACACAGGTCCTGGATACTATGGCTTGAATACTGTAGGAGAGGAAAAATAACTTTTCCTCTAGCCTTCTTAGTTCTTAGCTGAGACCCCTATCAGATAAGACAGCTCAACAAGATTAGAAAAACAAATAGAAGTTTATTGACATGTATACCTCATGTGTACATGGAAGATACTCAGGAAAAATAAGTAACTCTCTAAGGTGGCTTAGACTTTAGACTTAAATACCATCTTAATAAGGAAAAGGAAGAGGGATCTAAGCCTTTTAAGAGAGAATAAATGATTTTTAGGAAAGGTGAGTGGGGCTTTAGAAAAATAGATGGGAGGTAGGATAGTTTGTGACAAAGTTTGTCTGCATTCAGTGTCTACATCTAGTCTCTCCTGTGATATGAGTCAACCTCCCTTGGGTATGAAACTCCTGGGGAGGGGATTTATGACAATTGAATTCTATTGGGGAATCTGTCTTTAGGCAGATAAGGGGAGTTCAGCGAAAGCCTCTTCCCGCCTTTACTTTTTTTTAAGTGTCTACTGCTCAGTAATGGATATACCGAAGTGGCATATGTTGGGGCAGTATATTCTGAACTCCAACAGTTATATTTTGAGTTGGCATATTCTGCTACCCTTCAATGCTGAATTGAGCCCATTCCAAAATATAATATTGTATACAAATCTGCACTTAGCAGGCAACTGCAAAACATTTATTTTTTTTAGAATTTGAGTATTTGGAAACTAGTTAAAGTATTAAAGAACAGATTTTTATTCCTAAGTAGTAAAAGATAAATATAATGGTACACTTTTCATCCATGGTAAAAGTGCAACTTTAATACTATTTAATACTATTAATACAAAATACACAAAAATGCAGAGTATGAAGAGGCTGCTTGAGTTCTTGAGTTATTTATGGGTGAAATTGTTTCTCAATCCTTATCATGCTCTGTCCTTTCTATAATAAGTGACTAATGTGGCTAATAAAGGAATAAAGTCTGAACGGGGTTCAGAATGCCAGAATGGGGTTCAAATAACACACAACATTTGCTACAATATTTAACAAATGAAAACTTATTCTTGGTTTTCATGACAGAGTATAGTTTTCAAAACCTAGTTAGAAAAGTTATCCTGCTATTTCTCTCTAGTCAACTTTAGTAATGTTGGCAATGATTTGAAATATCAATAAAAAAGTTTAGATAAGTAATATTGAAAAATAATTTTCAAAAAAGATAAAATCATAAAAACATATGCAAAAATGAACATATTTAACTAATGAATGAGGAATCTGGTGAGGCATTACAACCAATTCAAAGGCAAATCCAAAAAGAACAGATACATTTATAGATCAGGATATTGAAATGATGTACAAATGGAGATGTAACTGTTTTGTGGGTTTTTTTTGGGGGGGGTTGGGAAAGATTATTTCTCCACTGAACAGAGTTTGTTTAACATATAATATTACTTCACACAAATAATTATGTGTCTACTGACAAGAATTATTTTGTATTGCTATGCAGTTCTCTATAATTTACAGTTACAAAATAGTCTCCAAGAATCAGAATCACATAACAAAGAAAGGTACGCTACAATTTATAGTTTTCCAATGAAGTACGAATTTTTCCCCATAGTAGCTTCTATATAAGAGGATAGTGGTAACTCTTTGATTTTTATAGTGGTTGGTTCTAAACATCAGAAGTTAAGAATTTATCAGAATTTCATAAAAATGAAAGTGAAATAGGATTATGTGTTATCAGCTGTGAAGGAAGGAACTGAATTTTCTTTCTACTCTTGACCTGAAAGCTTCTTAAGAAGTTAGGGACATCTGAGGCATTGCTAGTTGATGAAAAAAATATAAAATAATATTATTTCTTTCAGTTTTACATTAAATTTATATTTACAAGTTTATGTTTACAAATTTAAATATATATTTCTATTCATAAGGACAGAATGATCAAGCCAGTGTATTTACTATCAATTTATCAATTTCATTTAAGAAAGGAAAAGAAGTATTTAGGAAAAAGAAGAAAGAAATATTTGGAATCAAGAATGAAGATAATTTGAATTAAGAGGAATCTCAAGGGTGAAATTAATTTCTTCAGAATTATAGTATGTAGCCTTTCATTGCCATTCTTGTTCTTTGTTCTAAGATAGAAGTAGTAGTAAACACAGTGGTTAATCAGTCAACCCTTATGTGATTGGTAACCTTTAAACTTGGTCTTAAAGGTCACTGAGTAATATTAAATTCTAAGTCATCTTGTTACCCAAGTAAATGAAGACTGGAATTCTAAAAATTATTAAAATTTAGGGATCCACATTCACATATTTGAGTAGATGAACCAAAAAAGAAATAAGAATCTAGATAAATGTACTTAAATGGCAGGCTATGAAATATCTGTGGCATGGTGCATCTTATCGTGATGTGGAGAATTGCTGGACTGTGATGTCAGATAGATGTATGACAGTGTAATTAAAAAGTAAGGCTACTTTTGGTAACAGGAAAGAGCACTTTCTGATATTGCTCACTGAAGTATTAATTGTTGTATTTAGGTGAAGAAGAAGAGGAAGAGGAAGATAAACTACCCCGAAGAGAGAGCCTGAGACCAAAGAGGAAACGGACCAGAGATGTTATCAATGAGGATGATCCAATACCTGAGCCAGAAGATGAAGAAACAAGGAAGGCCAGAGAAAAAGAGAGGAGGAGGAGGTTGAAGAGAGGAGCGTACGTTAGTCCTGGTCTATAACTGACATTGTTATTCATTCAAAAGCACCTGAAGCTGAAAGACCATTACCTTTAGGCGGTCTTCGGCTTTAAAATTGGTGGTTAAAACTACTTTTAGAAATACAGACTGAATCTGATGCTGCCATTTTACTCCATTTTACATTATATATATAAATGACTTAAGAGAGATCTGAATGGTCATAGGTATTAACATATTATAGTTAATTTACATATTTTTAAGTTATCCTATTAATTATATGTATTATCATCAAAGTGGAAAACTCTCAAACAAAGAACCCAGATTGCTTTACTTTATAGAACAGAGGTTGGCAAACAATAGCTAATTCCAACCCAAGAGCTAAAAATGGTTCTTCCAGTTCTAAAGGGTTATTAATAATAATAATAAAAAAAAGACAAAAATGGAAGAGAACTGTACATAGCACTCAAAGCCTAAAATATTAATTATCTGTCCCTTTATAGAAGAAAAAAAAAGGGTTTCGGCCCCTGTTGCAGAGGATAGGAGTTGTCAATTCCTTTTTAATACCTTTTATTTTTCAATTCCGCCAGGCCAACATTTTGCTGAGTGCTGATTTTGTATAGAATAATATATATATCGAATGCTGTTTAGGGAAAATCCAAGAAAATAATTTTCTGGTCTTTGCTTTCCAGAAATTTGTAGATGGAAGGCAGGTTAAAAAAGTGTGCATGTAAAACAGATCTCACAACAGAAAACTTAGAGCCCTTTGAAAGGCTTTAAGAGAATAGCCAACCACTCTTGCCAATCCCAGGTAACAGGGCTGGGAAGTCATTATGAGGTGATGCGATCGCCTCCAAAACATTCCTAGGACTTTAAATGATGAGGAATTTTCTAAGACATCCTTTCAAACTGACACACTTTGGTATTCAATAACTAGCTATTATTTTTCTCCTCATAAATAAATGTAATTAAATACAAGTGTATGAAAATTTTGTTAGGTAGAGAAGTTTAGTATTAATAGTTGATGATTCCTTTTAAAATAGAAGAGTAACCATATCCACTTCTTTATCATATTTTTATTACTTTGTTTTTAAATCTTTTCCCTCATCTTCTTTCTCTTCCTCTTCTTCTTCTCTTCCCTTTTCTTCTCCTTCCAACCTCCTCTTCTTTCTTCTTTCTTTTCTAATCAAGACACCACCTGCTTTAAATTTTGACTCTGGTATTTTTTATTTGTATCTTATTTTCAAGTATCTTTATGCTTTATTCCTTTTTTTTTTAATGAAAAAATATTCCATGGAAAAATTTAATGGTTTTTCAACTAAAGTACTGGTTCTCTGGGAAGCCCCTTCATTGTCAAGGATAAATATAGCAAGCATGTTGCTCACTTTGAAGCATCTTCTCAGCTTCCAGGGACCCCCACTCCCCACCCCCAATCCTTTCCCATTTCTGTGAGAGGAATGGCCTTGTGCCCCAGGCTGGTGGGCAGGACCACAGTCTCTCACGATAGCTACAGGTAGCCTCTAATCTCCAGGGGGGGAAGAAGGAGTAGGGTTTCAATAGAGAAACTGTGATTTTTGTACTTGAAAATGTGGGAAGGTATCTTTTATGTCCAAATTCCCTTTATGCTTTGTTTCTTTTAAACATAAAATGCAACACAACTTTAAGTTCCATGTCTTTTTGTGATTACTAATAACTTTTTATTATTACTATTATTATTTAATAATATTTCCTATTAGCAAAGCTTATGTATTTAAGAGCAGTTCTTTGAGAAAACATCACCAATAGACATATGCATAATATAGGTTGTGTTCTAGAATTTGCCTTTCTTTTCCACTTATCCCTTAGAGAGGTTCTTTTAAAAAGTTGAGTTAGGTGGGAATTTTTCTGCATTCTTAGTCTGCTTAAGGCCCTCATGCCAACTGTTCAACCTCTAGGAATAGAACCGTTTGATTCAGCTAGGTTTTGAGCCCTGTTGCTGAATGGAATTTTGTCCCTTGGACAATGTCTGTCCTTAGCTGGTCCCATTCTCCTCCTGATTCTGAGAAACACACAAGCACCCCTGCATCCCTAACTCCCCCTTCCTTCACAGAGCCAAACTTGTGTAAGATGAAATTTGTCTCCATAGATTTTGCAAATTATAGCATTACTGCCACAATTTGTGCAACTATTCTAAATAGTATTATAAATTATTTGTAATGAGTAATAGTTTTGATCTCTAATTTGGAGTCCATTTTCTATTGTTCATTTTGAAGAAAAGCATCTTTTTTTTTTTTTTAAAGAAAATGCTTTAGCAAATATATTTCCAGAAAGATTAGTAGGCAAATCAGAGCACGTTTATTTAGGTTAATTAATTCATGGTCTTTTTGAATTTAAATGTTCACGTGAAACCCCTTAGGGAATTTTCCTTGAGCTGACAAAACGTTTGAAATCAACCAAAACCAAGGTTTTAATGCTAACAATCTTTGGAGATGGTTTAAAAGAACTGCCTTGTTAGACATTTTGGAGTATTTCTAATAATATTATAGGCTTTTCCTGACCTAGTTTTAAGTGAATAAGTAATATGTTCCTAGCAGTGAAAAATTCAGCACATTATGCCTCCTTTTTCCTAACAACTGTTGTTTAAATAAATCAGACTTAAAATAGAAAGCCATTCTTGCACAGATTAGCCCTAAATTTTGAAAGATAAAGTATGCCTGTGCTATATCTTTTTAATATGATTAACACTTTCTTTGAGTGCTTCCTAGAAAAGCAGTTTCCCTGTAATACTGGCAAGTAATATTTTCATTACCTGCATATTTGAATGTAACATATCCAAAAACAAACATTCCTTGTAGCACAGTGTGATCCACCTGGATCAATCAGCAATTAACAACAAAGACTTTAAAAATATACCAGTCTGGGATTATTTAGTGTAGGAGTAAATGTCTTTCCATACCATACTAATCTTAGAAGACATTGTTATAGTTTAGTGTACGTCAAGCACTGGGTTTATGATGATAACCCTATCATCCAGAAAAATTCTGTATATAAACACTTATTCAGTAAATATTTATCCAGCTCCACTTCTGTGGAAGATAATTTGCTAATGCCTTTAGAATACATGGATATGAATATGAAATTGCTTGCATTCTTTAGAAATCCATAAAATAAATAAGGAAGAGGCCACTTAGACCCACATTATTTTGAAACAGGACAGCATCCGTGTGCCAGAGAAGTACAAAGTGGTTTGGAGTCTTAGAGAAGAGAAAACTATTCTCATAGAGATAATCAGAAAAGGAGTTATTGAAAACATTTCTTATGATTTTTGAAGAAATCATAGGATAAGCTAAACATATAAAGTACTGGGTTTATGATAGCAGAAAAGGATATGAATAGTGTGAGTAAGGCTTCCATTAAGTTGTTTCTAAAACTTGGCATGGAAAGAGATAAGCTTTTATTATGTGGCAAATCCATACTGAATAGATGATTCTTTCATTCTTTGATGCTGCTGGATTAAATGAGATACTATTTTATATATGAGTCTTAATGGATGCTCAGTAATGTAAAGCTTTAAGGTACTTAAATGTAGATATTTTGAATTATTTTGGAAGGGGGGCAAGTTAAAGACGTAAAATATCAAAGTGATTTAGAAGAGGGGCAAGTTAAAGACTTAAAATATCAAAGTGATTTGGAAGAGGGGCAAGTTAAAGACTTAAAATATCAAGCAATTAAATTATTAATCTTAAATCTTTTTTTTCTATTTTCTACTTGGATTTATTCTTGACAGTTTCTTGACATATATTTTCTTATTTTTTTATAGTTTCTGTAAATATTTCAGTAAAACAAAATTTATATAGTTTAGTTTTAGTCTATGTCTACTTTGAAATAATTTTTGAGTAATTTTTAGTAAAACAATAACTCTTACTAAAATATATTTTTCCCACCTAAGACAAACCAACTGGCATATTATCGTAATTGGCAAATTAAAAAAAAAACAAACCCTCAAATGTTTTGTATCATGATTGCACAGCACCACAGTATTTTATAAAACAGAAACAATCTAATGACAAGCAGAGTTGTATTTTATTAGAGTGTACCATTATAGTTCTCTTGAGTCAGGATTACTGTTTTAAGCAAAAATACCTGAGTTGGACAAAAACATCAACCTGTCAACAAGTGTTATTTTGGAGGGTTATTGTGAATTTTTGTTTTGTAATCATGACATGATTAAACCTGTAGACTGGTAAGAAAGAGAAGAGTCATTTTATATGGGTTGTAAAACTATGGCTATATCCTTCAGTTTCTCAGCTGGAATTTTCAAAGAAGTTTTTGCCATATTCCTACTGTGTTTAATTATAAGCTTAGTGAACAACAGAATATGTTTCTGACTAACTCTGAGTCAGATTACAATTTCTTTGTGGAATCCAGTTAGAAAAAAGAAATTTCAACAGTTAATTGAATAGAGAACATTTAACAAAGGAACTGTTTAATAAATGATAAATCATAAAAAGGTGTTAACTAGGTAAATGGAAAAGTGAAAAGAGAACACAAAGGTATCCTAGTGATAGCAACTTTAGGAAGTGGCTACCACCCAAGGGCCAGAGGAACAATGAAAAGTGGTCGAAAGCAGAACTTAGACACATGAAGAAGAGACCCACAGAGCTGAAACCACTGCAGAGGGGATAATGCCAGGGTTGGAAAAACTGGCAAACTAGAGTCACCTGCAGCTGTGGAAGGCCCTGAGGCTCCTGGGGTGAAGAAACATTGTTAAGGAGGAAGCATCACCCCAAGAAGTAAACAAGACCAAAGGGAAGACCAAGTTCCTTCTTAGTATCAACCTATTGGCAATCTAGTATTGAGCCAGCTGACAGAGCAGAACTGTGCCCGAGAATTCCAGCCCCAGCATAGCAATATTAAGTATAGAAAGGTGAGTTTAAAGTTGAGCGACAAAAGCTTAATAACGGAAAACATCTATTATGAAAAAAATTAATCTCTACAATAGGACATTACATTCCTTAACTTAAAATTATGTTGCTCATGTCTTAATTTTATTTTCTTCGAGTTCTGGACCCTATAGTATTTTTGCAATGCTAGGAACACGGAAAAGCTATATCTTATTTGCTCAGTAAGAAACTAAATTCTCTTGAAGGCCTCTTCAAAGGATTCACTTCCACCAAATATAATTCAAGTCGAATTTTATCAATTGAAGTTTTGAGTCTAATTAAAAGATTGTTACCTTTGTACATTTGAGAAATAGATTTTTTATTTTTGCCTATTTTAATTTTTCTTTTGAGACAGGGATAACTTAAACATTTCAAGGGCACTTCAAAGACATCTTCACTTCTAATTTACTGTCCTTATTAAAAAATAAAGTTTTTTAAATGAAATGTTGAGTTAGTGGGGGAAAGTGTACGAAGGAACAAAAGAGAGAGAGAAAAAAATCTTGATAGATATATAATTATTCTTTCCACAGATTTTATAGCTTTGAGAATTTGAGGCTATGGACTGTATATATAAAGAACTTGGTTTCAAGATATTAGAATGTAAACACTGTTGTTTAAAGTTATAATGATTCCAGAAATCCTGCATCAGTGTTCAGATACAGGCTCCAGTGCTTATTATGCACAGCCAGTAGGTACACAAGGTAGAGTATCTTTAAGTTTGCAAGTCAAACAAAACATAACTTTATTAAGGTTTTTTTTTTTTTTCCTTTTAAAGGGAAGAAGAGGAAGAAATTGATGAAGAGGAATTGGAAAGATTAAAGGCAGAGTTAGATGAGCAAAGACAAATGATTGCTACTGTCAAATGCAAGCCTTGGAAAATGGAGAAAAAAATTGAAGTTCTCAAGTATGTTGCCACTTTTCATAATCAAAAACACTTTCCTTGATACTGATCTCCTAAATCTTCTGTGTGTTACTTATATTTAATAGATAATACTATATATAATATATGTAATACTCATATATAATGCTCATAGTCATATATTCATATATAGTGTATCATATATGTGTGTGTGTGTATGTATATATATATGTGTGTGTATATATATATATCTCAACTCACTAGAGAGGGTGGGCTAATGATTACAAATTTAAAACTATAAGCAAATTTATTGTTTGGAGTCTTATAACCCCTGTGGTCACCTTCGACTCTTTATTCTTTGAACTGAGAGCTTCCTTAGTTTAATACATCCATTACAATATCTCTGAAAGAGATAATATATTCGAATTTTATAAGTTTATGTGGATTGCACACTCTTGTTTCTCTGCAAGGTCCCAGCCTCAATCAATATTTTCATGTGACAGTTCTCATTAAAGCACAGGGAGGATGCTAAGCCAACAGAACAGTAAATACGATTCCAATTAAGGGTTATGATAAGAACTACTCCCTGGTAACATGTCAGTGACCTGATTTTACTCTTACATTGAGTGCTGATGAGGAAACAAACACACTCAGAGGCATTCAGATTTATAAACTCCTGATATGAAAAGCCTAATGATTATAGTTTTCTGGAGGATGGAAGCAGATTCACCTCTGAGGATCACATTGTATTGTGATCCTCATGGTATTTGGTGGAGGCAGGGTGTGAAAAAAGGGAATGTGTCTGTGATGTCAGGTTTGCATCTCTCAGTTGTGCTACAGGTTACATTTTTCCATAGAAACATTTTTTAAAATAGTGGTAAATTTCCAAAGCTATCTATCCATAAGCCTATTTAACTAGTAATGTTGAGTATCATAGTGTATATAATATTGTGAAAATTATAATATAGTATTATAGCCCCTGGTGATAAAAAGAGAACTGAAGTAGCTATCAGGATAATTCACTTCTAGTCTTGGCTCTGCCACAGCTGTATGTTATTTAAGGAAATCGCTTAACCTCCTGGGGCCTCAGTTAACTCATATCCAAAATAAGATATTCTAGATCTACCCTGTGAGGTGGGAACCTAGTCATCATTTATAATGGTATCATTTTGTTTTGTGAAGTAAAGTTTTCCAAGTTTCAAACAATGGTCTTCCCAGCACACATAATCATACACTGGGAACTCCTTGTGTATGTGCATGTTCACATCAGCCATGAATAAAGGCAAAGGCAAGCAGCATTCCTGGTTCCACGGAGCTACTAATGTGTGTGCCTGTGCATATGCTTGTGTGTGTGCACAGGTACTTATGTGTGTGTGTGTGTGTCTGTTAAAACAGTTTTCATTCAATGAAGTGATGACGCTAAGTGACAGGTTTAAAAATATCCTTAATTGGCAAAACAGAAATTTGGCAACCTTATGTTGGCTCCCAAAATATATTTTGAAATATTACTGGCCATGAAATCCCAAACCTAGGAACCACAGGTAACTATATATAGAAAGTTGAAAAACTGGTAAGCAAAAATATTGTGAACTTTCAAAGTATGGTGTGAAATTGGGTAAGAAGGCCAGAGTATCTCCTCCCTTTCCATCTGCATGGAGGTGTAGAAATACGTTCCCCACTCTCCCTTACCTGCATCTCCGATCTGGAGTAGTGGCATGGGCTTCAGACTTAAGTTTACCAGGTGCAGTTAATATGTAGGCAAGAAATTCTGAGAATGGGTTGTAAATCCATATGGACTCTAAGGCTCAAGAACTGGCACTCTGCATTTTCAAGGCAGCAGAATTTGTTCTTTAGTGATGAAGGGAAGTCACTTCCTTTCTATCATCACTGTGGAATGGTATTTTTCAATGTATATTTTTCTGTGTATTAATGCAGTTTCACACACTACTATAGCCTTGAACCTATTGATTAAGAATCTTTCGGCGCAGTGGCAGGTGTGTCTAAACCAGACCAGGAGTGCATATTTTTTATTTTTTACTCTAAAAGTCATTGATATACAGTCAGGGCTGAGACTGTTTTTAACTGAGAAACAGAAAACTTCATTAAGCGGAATATTCTACTTTGTGAAGAGTTTTTTTGAATGGAAACAATATGTGTCTGTGTGTGGGTGCGGAGGGGCTGTGCTGGGCACAGGGAAATGGTGTATTTTTCAATTATATGAAGGTCAGTTCCTATTTTTTTTTAATTAGTTACCTAACTAAAAAAATATTCAACAGCGAGGATTTTAAGTATAATCTGTTTTTAAGTTGTATATGGGTTTAACTCAGGAGTTGGACGACTAGATCTTTCCTACCTATAAGAGGTGACCACGCTAACCTGGTAGCAGCCACCACAGGTGAAATAAAACACCTGGGTGGAAAGTAACAGGTCTACTTATTGCTCATCTTGAAACCTAAAACCTTTAACTGTATCAGAACATTCTATGTTGTAGATTAAAAGCCCTCATGACTAAACCTAAATAAGCAACCACTGTATTTCATTTAAGTAGAATAGGTTTTGGATTGAAAATTAAAAGACTTGGACTTTGATCTAAGTTCTACCTCTAAGGCCTCCTCTCTGAGCCTCTGTTTATTTACTTATAAAACAAAGGGATTGGATTGTGACCCATGGTTTTCACAGTGCTATCCTCAGAGTTCAAGTGTTTTGGTGAAATACCTTTCAGCACGAGGGAGGTCAGAGGACTGGCTGTTTCGTCTGCCAAAACACCAACTTCAGTCAGAGGAGACCTACGGTTTCTCTTTTCTACATAATGTACTCCATATAAAGCGTTCATTTGAAATAAAAATGCACTTGCGCCTGTTAACATAAAAACAGTTTTTGAAAAACCCAACTTAACTGGATATTTAGAGAAGCTTATTTGTGGGAGGGAGCAATTCTAACATTTTATGAGTCTACAAATTAGGGCATGGGAGCACTCTAGGTTTACTTTTGCATGGGACTAGATCTTGGGCAGAAGCCTTTTAAAAAATATTTATTTTGATAACAAAAGTGCTTATTTAGCTATTATACTAACTGCTTTAATTTCTCAGCTTTGTAGCTCTCTGACCCAGTATTTCTGGGAGTTATCCATTGGCTGACTAGGCCTGGTGATTTATTAATGAAACACCCAGTAAAGCCAAGAAGTTACTCTGAGAATTTCATTTACATTTAAACAGGTGCTTGAAACTGTCAGCTGGTCATTAGATAAACATTCTTCCTTACTCATCCTTCCTTTATCCTCTCATTCTTCTTTTCATATTTTATTTTATTTTATCTTTATTTTATGTTTTATTTTATTTTATTTTTTATTTTTTGGTTGGAGAAATTAATATATTCTAGGAAAGTGAGAATAGACCAGGGCTGATTTCCTGGTTTTTTTTTTGTTTTTTTTGTTTTTTAAATCAATGAGTTCCACAATCTAAATTCATACTCTGAATTCTGGCTTCCTTTCCAAATCATGAGTTATTGATGATGGTGAACATGAGGGTTTGGAGATGGACAAAACCATTTCCAGTTTTGTTTTTTTTCCTGAGTGCCTAATATGTATCAAATTCTGTACTAGGAGATGTTGCACACATTAACTAATTTAATTTTCATAGAAACCTTGAAAATGAAACGTTATCTTCATTTTACAAATGAGAAAACGAAGATTCACAGAGATAAAGTAGCCTCACACAGCTAATAACTGTCAAGGTGAAGATTCAAACTAGGTTTTTCTATCTCTAAAACCTCATGCTTTTTCTAGTGTGCCACACTACTTCTCATTTGAACCATGTTTCCCAGTGACGCGAGTTTAATTTTCTCTAGATATTGTGGGTAAATTTTCTCACTTGATTCCAGTCTCTTCTCCACTTTTCTGCTGTGCTTCTTATGCTTCTTCCAGTCCTGAGTTCTCTCTCCTTCATCAAATACTGTCTCCCCTCTGAGGTCTTTTCTTTGCCAACTCCTATAGAAATTGGACTCAAATAGACTGTTATTCATTTAGCTCTCTTGGTATGCTGCATTATATTGCATTTTAAAAATTGTATGTAAATCTGCTTCCCTTCAGAATAGATTTTGAGCTTCTCAGAACATGAAAGATGTCTTACAGCTCTGTTTTTCCTCAGGTCCTAGTAGAGTGCTCTGTACCTCATAAGTATTCAGTTACTCTTTTCCGGATGGCTGGCAGTGTTAACCATGAGTTGTTTTGTTGTGGCACACTCATTCCGAAGACAAGAGAATCATTAACATGATGAGGATCTTTTAAGGCCCTGGATGAATTAGTGAGTAAAGGGCAGGGAAGTGCTGGTAAAAAAAACAACACTGATTTGTAGTATTTGCCAATTTACATGGTGTAAATACTCCCACTATGACCTATTTCAAGCTACTAACGATTTAAAAACCAGCTTACAAAATTTCTGGAAATGTAACAATCAGTGGCTGAGTCACCTCCAGCACCTCATTGGGAGGTGTAGTAATGCCTTCGATTAACTAAATTTATGTTAGAGGAACCTTAATCTGGAGCAATTGAGAGCAGAGGCTAAAGAAAAAAAGAACTGTTTGTTATACTATAACTTGTTTCCTTTATTTATTCTGTAATCAACAATGAATTGCTTGAATTAGAGCTGCTTGTTGGAAGGACAAGTATTATTTTATAATTTCAGGACTCCAGATAAAGGTCCAAAGTGCCTTAATAACCTCTTGTTTTTTTTGTAACACTCTGCTAAATGTCTTTCATTTTATGTTCTAAAATTTCCTCCCAAATCTAGTAACATGACAGAGAATTTCAATTTTTCTCCCTTCTCCTCCTATTCTGCTCTTTTTTTCTTTTTAAAATTCATCTTAAAGAGGAAAATTTTTTATTGAGAGTAATCAATTCTTGATTGAGCTGGGAAATCTCTTCTGGCTTATCATGCACATTAAAGTTCACCCACCACAATTGCTCATCTCATCATTTCCATTGCATTAGGAAGAATCTTTCCACATTATATAAGAACAACGTCCCTGATAGTTCTTTCTGTCTCAGG